ACAGGCCATATGAACCCAGGACTGTGTATACTAAGTACAATAGCACAACACGTTTATATAATACAATAGAATCTAATTTAAAACCACAACCGTCGAGTATTCGTACAGTGTACTGCTTCTCCCACACCTGTGTGATGAATCTTTCTTACTAAAATGAGATAAAATTAGCATTCGAACTTTGAATTAAGTACACTTCAGCTGCACATACAAATCTATCGTCCCCTACAACCTCTTTAATTCATGTTATCGCCAGTTATGCTATCGTCCACAGAAACGCAGCCCGATAATTCATTACAATATAACTAATTCAAATTTCGCACGCTAATTCTAGCGAGTTGAGTACCAAAGCCACCCAAAGCTTCCTCGCGCAGGTCTGGGAGAAACATAATGTAACGAGAATAGGGTTGCTAATCCTAACCATAGCTGAATAAACCAAAGTACGTCGGACGAATCTTAAAATTTAAACTTAGTTAGTGAAGAAAAACGTCGGGATCTGAAATTCTAAGAAGAACGAATAGTTAAAAAAATATGAACTTTTGGCTGAACGATCGCTAAGTCAACCTCATATTTAATTTTATCTGCTTAGCTTTACTTCACAATTCAATAGGGAATGCTCACACTGTTCACTCTATCTATGTTGGAAAACCAACTTCTTTGGCACCTACGACGTTTTAGTCATATTTACCCGATACTTCTCCAACAATGTTAATTTTATCGCATTTTAGTACCAATGTCTGGATAATCTGGCAACTAAAATTTCGGCCATGTCCTCTATTAGATATGCTCTACGCTTACCAGATAATGGAATACCTTTTCAAGAAAATTATTCTATTTTTTAGAGAAGGAAATATTGTTTTTTCTCTATTTTTACGCGTAGGCGTCCGTTAGTATCGTTTTTCTATCAATATTATCAAAGTTAATATAATTAACTAATAGCACATTTCATTTCGTGAGTCTCACGTCTAATAAGCACTTACTAGAATTTCGACTTGGAACATTCTTGAACATACATTTTTAAAAAATCACATGCCTACCGTTTCTATTCTACAGTTATATTTTTTCGGTAGTATTTCATTATAGTGAATTATAATCCAGTATGTTTACGTCGTTTGTTTTATTGAAATATTTTTGTAGTCTAAGAAAAAATGTTGTTAAATTTTGTTCAAGGTCTATTTATTAACAGCAATAGTGTCGGTGTTTCCAGATTTACAACTAGTTTTAAGCTCACAACTTGGTCTGTGGAACTTAGTACTTACTATAACATAAGCAAAGGTTTAGTTTTCATACAAAAAGTATAAAAGTCCTTTTAGTTGCGTCAGCACAAGCGTTTTAAAACGATATTTATTTCAACGCCACTTATATTTTGTTATTCCAAGATAATCTGTCATAATCAGTAGACATTAAGTATGAGTTGCAAAACTTATCTACTTAGTTCAAGTTAAATTCTAATATAACTTTAACCGGCCTTCCTTGGCCAGTTAATTGTTACTGTCAAATCATGACCTCATTTTGACTATCGTTAAATAGTGCTATTTTTTACCTAACCGGTACTTAAACTGAAGAGTAAATGTTGAAGAAAGTTGGTGTAACTCACTCTAAATAGCTTTATCGTACAAAACTTAAATGTCACTAATTTATTCATTCACTGATAATTACGAAATCCTGAAATCTACTAAACTATGAAGATGATATTTGAAACGCATGTAGAGTAATAGTGAGGGACGTCATTTAAGAAATTGTTTTAGTAAATTGTCGCTCTAAAGTAAAAGATATAGAATAGGGTTAAAAGTTTGTATGTAACTTCAACTTTTATGGATTAAGAAGTATAAACATTTTGTATGTAGACTATTTATTAGTTACAATCAAAAATAATCTGCTACAATGATTTCAAAATAACATGCCATGTAGATTTTTTTAGCTAAAATTGAGAAGTAAGTTTTAAATGTACAAAGTCACGGGTAAAACAAATGAAAACGTTGGAAATTCTACTAAAGCTACTAAATCTTACTTCAGTAAAATATAATTACAGTGTAGGTGTAAAATATAATATATCTTACGATAACGATGTTTTAACAAAACAACCAAAATTGAATATGATTCAGATATGCGCGCTGGCCTACGTTGCCACCGACTTACTGTGGCCACTATTCCTACACGAACAAAGAAATTTGGTGACTCATTTCTTTGTCGTACTATTCGTAAGTGGAATTCTTTACCCGCGCAAGTGTTCCCTCCTTCCTATAATCTGGGGTCCTTTAAGAGAGGCGTGAAGAAGCATTTTTGCAGGCCGGCAAGGTGAGTATGATTGGTGTAGCAGTTTATAACTGCTGTACCAGCTATCTTAGCGTTTGGACTTTATTACCACTTAACATCAGGTCATCAGGTCATCATCAGGGGTAGAGCCATTTGCCTACCTGTATATATATATAGCCGAAGTTGCAATCGGAGAAAGCCAGTATGGAACTGAGATTACCACAACGTACTACAGAGTACCGTAAAGCACTCTGCATCTCACTAGTGTAGTAAGTAGTTTCAAGGGCTAGTCTATAAGTACAGGGTGGCAAAAGTAATCACTGCATCGGGGGATGTTATAATTATTGCAAATGACGTCGTACGTCAATCATATTTAATAATTGTGAACTAGACAGATGCAGAATGCAAACAGACGAGCAACAGAGTACGATACTCCGCGTGAGTATGCACATGTGTGGTTTAAACAAGACGGTGCAACTGCACACATAGCACGATTTCGTTTTTCCGATTTGACATGGCCGCCAAGATCGTCTGATTTAACCGCTTTAGACTTTAGACTTTCTGGCTTTGGGGCTACTTGAAGTTTCGGGTTTATGCCAATAAGCCTCAGACAAGCGCAGCTCTTAAAGAGTCATTCGACAGGAATACGTACAGTTACCACTATCATGCGGAAATCAATTCATTCTTTTTTATGCAATTTTGACGCACGCAATACTGCATACGCATTATATTTCATTTTAGTTAAAAGCTTATTGTAGGGGTATCCTCATAAATAATGATATTAGGATGAAGGAAAACACCCCACTGATGTTGTTGAATGTATGATGAGTTGAGGCTCGAAGGACCAAAATGTACGGTGACTCCTACATAATGATATTAGGATGAAGGAAGGAAGACAACTGATACTTTTGAATGCGCGATGAGCATTGATTTATTATGTAGAGATGTGTTTTTATATACCTAATACAATGACGCATTATGATGCATTCTTTTAGATACATCACGTGATTAAAGTAGGTTCGTGCTTACAATACAGTACCCTTAGTACAAGTTTGACCTTACGAAAAAATTTATGTTTATATGTCCATTTTGGTGAAAAGTGTCCAAATATACTTAAAATTTAAGAAGACACAAATGATTTAATGATAGAATTTAAACACTGTTTATATGTATTGAAACGAAAACAATAAAATCAAGGAGTGCGAGTTCACGAAAACTAACATAGTTTTCGTAATTATAAAACTCGTACTAAGGGTACAGTTATACAAAGTTATGCAGTTCGTGACTCGTCCACTTATTTTTACACTCATATTATAAAGCAGAAATGCTGTGAGTGTGTATGTTTGTTACTTCTTCAAACGGCTGAACGATTTTAATAAAATTTGGTATGGAGTTAGCTGACACCCTGGATTAACACATAGACTACGTTTTACCGGAGGAAAATATCTCTAATAAACTGCGGGTAACACCGCGGGCCACAGCTAGTAGGTAATATTCTTTATTGAGATGCACCTCACACGACATTGAAGAAATAAAACATGGCAATAAAAACGAACACAATATGTGGCCTTATTGCTAATTAGCAAACTTTCCCAGGAAACCCATGATATTGAAATAAATATGAGTCTGTACTTCTGTATTGATATTGACTGTTAAACAAATATTCCAGAAATCCGCAATTTCGTTGATTTCTTTAGATGCTTTTAGTTTTAATTTAACGTCGAATAATAATACTCTGACATGACACACATTATAACAGAGTTGGTGTAATATAACAGTATTGTTTCTTTACCTACATAATATTGAGTATTATTTTTTTCTTATTCGGTTCTTATTAAAATAATATTCGTTCGCCAGAAAATAGATTGAGCTTTAAATACTCTAAGCCTGCTCAACGAAAAATTTAATTTGATAGTTTATCGTTCAAATAAAGTATAAGCTAATTGACGAAATTAAATTTCGTTTGAACTTCGTTACCGAAAGTTCGTTTTGGAGACAGGAGGTAAGTAAAGTGGTCACCGTCATCCACATCAGCAATGCCAGTGACACAGGTGTCGCTCGCTGCAATTCGTAGAGGGAGATCAGTCTATAATTTTATTGTCAGTGGAATAAAAGATCTCTAGAAACGAAACAATCTCTGAAAACAAACCAAATTTTTTTGTTTGCTTAGATTCTAATGATTCTATACTTTCTATGTGGTTACCATTATAAATTTGGAAATTTAAATTAAATACGCTGTAGAGGGCTTCAAAAATATAATTTAAATAAAATCAAGTAAGGCATTAAATTTATTTTGTATAAAAGAAAAAGTTTGTTAAGTTCAAAAAATTTACGTATTTTTACGAATTAGTCGTTGCAATTAAGATAATTATTTATTTAGTCCAATTAATATTAGCCACATCATGGACCAATAAAAAGTGAGGTCGCGTGATAAGAGTCCCGATTAACGCTTGTTATACGCATTAAAAATAATATTTAGTTCCATTTTGTGACTTTCTAAAGTCGCCCGTTAATATTTTTGGTTTATGGTTATTACCTTGACTTATATTTCACGTGGAGTGCGCTCAAAAATTTAAAACACGACTAAACTGCCGCAGCGGCAAATTTGAATTTGGAAAACTTGTCCGAGGGGCGCATTGCGCTTTTTTTTACTCGTCGAACCGTGAGCACTGAGTCAGAACTTTTTTAGAAAACTTTTTGTGGCACTGGCTGTCACTTTTTTGCACTTTTGAAAATGGAGTGTTTACATTCCGTTCGTGGCGCGAGGTTAGAGAACATGGCACGCGCGCGCGTTCCGTACGCGGACTGGAGTGGTACTTGAGCTTGGCTGTACAGTGGCGCGGCGGCGTGCATGCGCACTTACCATCTTTGCCTTTCAGGCCATTGTGAAACGTGCCCGTAAACGTTCCTTTCCCGCATTAGTTGGGGATAAACCTTTTTGGAATAGTGTGCAGATGTTTTTATTTGTTGGCCGTAGGTTTGGTGTGATAATTAATTTGTTATTTAGGCGGTTTATGAAAAGCAACAAATTATTATATTGTACCATGAGATTTCTAAGAAATAATATATAGAAAATTTGATCTTTATACGAATCAGGATGGATAGATAGCTAACTTCCGCATTGAGTAGCCTGACGGCCGTGTCGAATTTTCTTCTAGCCTTAGGCTACATGGCAGCTCCATCTCTTCGCATTGTAGGTAACCCACAATGTCAAATGAATACTTTTACAAGTCTTAAACATTTGAAAGCAGAAATAGCTATTATAGTTATGTTTTTATGGTGCAGGTTCGAGACTCGTCAACTGCCTGGTCCACGTGGATTCTTTTCTAGTAAACTTTGCTTTAGATTTAAACATCTAGCAAATAAATGCTTAAAAAATAAAAACATAAAAGAGTGTAATTTAAGTATTCAGGGTTCATGTATATACTCGTATGTATGTACAATTCTTATTTCACCATTACTTCTAAACGCCTGGAGCTCTACTCTCTTTCTCCGAAACGAAATTTCGACAACGAACGAATTTTAAACGAAATTTCGCCAGTGAATCTACTCTATTTCATCTTCGAACACGCACATAAAGTTGGAACAATTATCGTGAATGAATGGAATGAGTTAAGTTTGTGAGTACTTTTTGTCGACACTTTTTAGATAACGTTTTTTACTTTAAAACAATATTAATTTATGACAACATTTGTGATTAAATTATAAAAACCTCTTTTGAGAGTGTTAGCCGACTAATTTGAAGAGTTGATGCCATCGAATGTATGTCAACCTAAATTTGTCGTTAACACTTTGAAGTATTGGCAATACAATAAACAAAACTTTGATTTATTTTTTAATTTTTCACACTAAAAAATGTTCCTCACGCTAAGCAGCCTTAATTCAAAATATTCTACTAGTAATTTTAGGTTTAATTTAAACAAAAATTCCAAAACGAAAATGAAAAGGTAATTTTTTTTCATTTTCGTTTCGTTTCGTCAATTTGAGGTTAAAATTCCGAACAATTATCTGTCAAATTCAACTTTTAGTTCAAATGTTTTGTGAATTAGAGTAAGTTTACAGAATTTGAATGTCAAACTATTTTCGGACGAACGAATTTTCGATCGAAATTTCGTTTTTCGTTGAAATAGAGTAGGGCTCCTGAAACGATTTAGATGTATGTGGTATCGTTAGAATCCTTTCACAATCCCGGTTAACATATTATTACAATAAAGGTATCATTTGAATGGTCTTAATTAGACTATTTCAAATATAGTAGCATTAATAAACGGGTATACGTGTAAAACGAGATAAATACTAGATATTTTTAAACTTTTTAGTTCATATTTTAACGACAGTCTTGCTTTGTAATTATTGAACTTCTTGACTACCTATCATTCAAAAATGTTCGTTGATGATTTACATATAATTAAATTTCAATCTGCCAAGATTCTGACACAATGTTTGAATCGCAGTCCCGTAAAAGAAAGTAATTACTGACTACCACTTTAAGCAGTCCAGTCGGAACCTTGTATCAACAGAGATTTTATTACCGTTTGTAACGAAATGAAAAAGAAACTGAATAAGACTTAAAAACACAAGTATAATGAAAACAACTTTAAAGCTTTTGTCTGGTTTTGTATTTTAACCATATTTTGAACTATACCATAGTTTGTACTAGGCTCGGAACTTTAAGTTATTATGTAAATAGAATATTTATTATGATGAAAGGGTAGCGTATAAGCGTATGACCCATCTAGTGGTAAGAGGCGACCATAGCTAGGCGCTTGCGATACTAAAAATATCAACCGTACCATTGCCTCATTCATCATCAGCCATTAATGTCCCCACTGCTGGGAAACAGGCCTTCCCTATGGATGGAATAGGGAGATTAGACCATGACCCAAAATGCGGGCCCAGTGCGGGTTGGTGGGTGCTGACGACTGCAGATGCAACCGGGACCAACGGCTCAACGTGTCTTCCGAAGCATGGAGGAGTTCGAGATACTAAATTTTTGGTAACCCATCCAATGACCGGCCACTGCGAAAGTTGCTTAACTTCAACGTCGCACCCGAACGCGCTAACCAATTGCGCCATCGAGCTCCTCAGGGCACCGTTGCCTGCCCTGACCCAATCCCGTACCCCGTGGAGCCCTGGAACCTTAACTTATAGTAATATATGTTATTAGCGGGATTGTTACCATGTACCTTGTTTTTAGCAAGTTTCCGATATTTCGGCACTGTTGCAAGCGCCATGATCACGGAGTAACTGAAGGAATTGCGGGTAGGCTGTTATTGGCAGACATATCGGTCTACCCTCCAACGAAGTCTTTTATTGCGTTCGATACCCGTACCACTGTTCACATTCTCACTATTCACTCGAAACTGTTCCCTGCACACAACACTGCGAAAGTTCAAGAAAAAAATAAGGTACATGGTAACAATCCCGTTAATAACATATTATAATGTTAGTGAACATGAAAGTTTAAAACAATATACTGGAACCTTACCGACAGAAACATAACACCACCAAGAGGTAGTATTATTTTTCTGTGATATTCTGTAAGGTGGTGGTTACTTGCCCAGACGGGCGCTCCAATTCAAGCCATAATCTGCTATGCTCCATCTCTCAATCGATGGATTTTGTTGAACCCCTATATTCAACTTACATCTTACCGTCACAAGCCCAACGTATTTATCATCAACAAATATTGCTACCAGAGATTATTTCTCGTCTGCGCAAATTGTTCAACTTTAACAATTTAAACCGAAAGAGTAATTAACTTTTGAAAGCTCTTTGTACCTATTAACATATAAACTTCTGCGCAATTAGTCATTAATGAACAACTCTTGAATCGCATTTTAAAAGTGATCATTTAAATTTTACATGTCTTTCAAGAATTTTTGAAACACATTGTGGAGCAAGTGAAAATTCTAGGCGTTAAAATTTTCAGAATGTCTAATTGCAGGGTGTAATTAATTATTTATTTTCGTAGAAGGACTCTACTGCTCATTGTGTTCAGTGTTTGTGAAATTTAGACTAATTCACTTGCAAACATTACCCCCCTTATTAATAAACGAGGAATAAGCTAAGACTAGTTATACCGTGTTTTGTTCATGACAGTCAAGTGCCATTTGTAATTCAATCAACAGAGATAAAACATAGAGTATCTAATCCAAACTTATTCTGCGTTTATTACTAAAGGGGTACGGGTGCAGTTGAGTTGTGTGACGTGTTACTTCCATACTTTTATACACCATGAATTTTGGGTTACCTGAGAAACTTTACTTTAGCTAATTCAGACAACGATTAAGGGTTAAATTTCCATAAAAACAAAGTACTTACACCTAATTAATTTTATCGAAAAATTTGGAGAAATTTGGTTATATATATAGAAATTTAAGGTGGAAACCTTTATTCACTAATTTGTCTAATTAAGAAACCTTAACAATTTTTTTATTGTTAGAAATAGATCCAAATAAAACTACTTTTATATGGGATCTACCTACTTGATATGGATAATAATTCCACAATAGGTATGTTTTATAGCTGTTAACGGGATTGTTTTTTTTGAGTCTCCGATATTTCGGCACCTTTGCAAGCGCCATGATCACGGAGTAACTTAAAACAATATACAGGTATGTTTTGTTTACGATATTGAGCTGTTTTAAGGATATTTTGTAAACGATATAAATCAATATTTTTTATGCTGGTGTAGTACGTTTACTGTTTGCAACTGATTTTTAAAATTTCTCAGGTTACTGAAAATCCACAGTAATATTACTTTTTCGCTAGGAGATACAAAACGCCGCAATATTGTAGGTATATAAGCGCGTTCGCGGGTATGACGCCGTGGGATCTCGATGCCCAGGTTCTGGCAGACGTGCATCGAGGTCGGGTCGAAGCCAGGGAGCGGGGTGAAAGACCTGCCCCAGCAGAGCTGCGGCAGGTCCGTTCCATCGCACAGGCAGAGGCCTTGCGGCGATGGGATGAGGCACTCGCCCATGTAAGCGCCGGCCACCGGACGATTGAGGCCATTCGTCCGGTGTTGGAGGAGTGGGTGGGTCGCCGGCGCGGCGGCCTCTCGTTCCGCATGGTGCAGGTACTGACCGGGCACGGATGCTTCGGTCACTACCTGTACCGTGTCGCACGTCGGGAGGAAACGCCGCAGTGTCATCACTGCGGCGCCCCGGACGATACGGCCGAGCACACCTTGCAGGAGTGCTCGGCCTGGCGGCAGCAGCGCCGCGACCTGATTGCGGCGCTGGGAGGCGGAACCCTCTCGCTGCGGAGCATGGTAGAGGCCATGCTCCGTGGCGAGTCGGCATGGGAGGCGGCTGCCTCCTTCTGCGAGAACGTTATCTCGCAGAAGGAGGCAGCCGAGAGGGAGAGGGAGGATGATCCCCTGGCCGCTCCCTCCCGCCGAAGAAGAGCGGGCAGAAGAGGACGAGTGCGTGCCCTGGCTACGCCCGTCCCATGACCCTGCTCGCGGGGATCCCTAGCTGGCCGGTACGGCGCATTGTGCCGTGCCGGCCACCGAGGGATCCCCTGACGGCAGCCCCCATCTTGTAGTTCTGTCCTGCAAAGAGGGGGGCGGCGGAAGGAGCTACACGGGTATGCCCAAGTAGTCCTCCGCAGCGGACGGGGGGCGGTACGGTGGGCACTAGGCCGCGTATTTTGCCCCCACGCGCGGGTCATCCTGCGCACGTCTGCGGGGTCCCCGCAATACCTCGGGAGACCCCTGCCGTGGAGCCCCGGCTAGGCCGGGAGGCTGCTGGGTGCGGAGACGCGGAAGAATCCCTAAACGGGGATCCCGCGGTTTCGCACTAAG